GACACACACCCTCCTTCACGTTTCCCAATCCCTCACAAAAGGGGGAAACCTTTCTGATGGTTCAGATTCTGTCGAACAAACCCCCAGTCATCCAAAACCCCAATCTGTCCATGATAGCCATGACCTTGTAGTCTTCCTCACAGCAATCTTCTCCTCATCTCCACTGCATCCATTAACCATACCTGCACCTTTCTGGATATCTGTCACTAAGTCAGATTTCTACAACCAAGTTTTCCCGTACCTTGCTTTGATCTCTCCCCTGTCATAACTTTCAATGCAACTAATCATAACAATTCCACCCATACAGTTTCACATTCTCACTACTACCTTAGGTCAGCTTGCCCTAGCAAAACAACACCTCTATATGGCCTTTGAGAACAAAGTCCACAGAACAAAATGGTTTCTCCCTACTTGTTTCTCAAACACCATGACCCTTAGCTTGAAAGGACCAACTGAATAATCCCAATTAATATTACTATTAAAAATCTAGGGGCGCCTAGGTGGCTTAGTCGGTTAAGCGTCCGACTTTCACTTAGGTCATGATCTCGCGGTTTGTGGGTTCGAGCCCCGCGTCGGGCTCTGTGCTGACTGCCAGCTCAGAGCCTGGAGCCTTTTTCAGATTCTGTGTCTCCCTCTCTCTCTGACCTTCCCCTGCTCATGCTGTCTCTCTCTCTCTCTCTCTCCTAGAAATAAATTTAATAAATAAATAAATAATAAATTAATTAATTAAAAAAATCAAACCCTAGGGGCGCCTGGGTGGCTCAGTGGGTTGGGCATCAGACTTTGGCTCAGCTCAGGTCATGATCTCACAGTTGGTGGGTTTGAGCCCTGCACTATGCTGACCCCTAGCTCAGAGCCTGGAGCCTGTTTCAGATTCTGTGTCTCCCTCTCTCTCTGACCTTCCCCTGCTCATGCTGTCTCTCTCTCTCTCTCTCTCTCTCTCTCTCTCATAAATAAATAAAACATCAGAAAAAAATATTAAATAAATAAACAAATATCAAGCCCTAGCAGGAATCTTATATGCACCACTCGGTTTTATCTTTGTAGCGACTGGGCCCCTCCATAGGCCTATGAATGTTTAGACAGCTGGCAGATTGGAGACCAATGCTTACTAGAATTTCTGTCTCTGTGGACATCCACAATAAATCTGAAGCCTTCCACTGGTCTTCCCCACTAAACCTTCAACTCTGCACTAAACAGACACTCCCCAAAGTATACATGACTCTGGATTTGCCTCTATTGTAGGTATTCATACCAATGAACAAATTATTAGAAATCTCTCTTTGGAGTTGGGAAAACTCACCAATTCCACTGTGAAGACAATATGGGGGAGAGGGGAAAATGGGTGATGGGTATGGAGGAGGGCACTTGTTGGGATGAGCACTGGGTGTTATATGGAAACCAACCTGACAAACTATATTTAAAAAAAAAAAGGAAAGAAATTAAAATTAAAAAAAAAAAAAAGGACAATAGCAGTCCAACCACAATTACTTGACTCATTGTTTAAAGTCGTTTTGGACAGTCACAAGATCTTTGATTACCTACTTGCTAAATACATAAGTATTTGTATGCAAGCAACTGACACACATGAATAAATTCCTCCAAAGAAGCAGAAACTCAAATACATAAAAATAGAGAACAAGGACATAGCTGCAACAAATTCCACCTGACGATCCATGATCCTTTGATCTCTGGCTAGGTATACATTCAGCCTTGGGCTCCTGGTTTAGGACTATTACACAAACTGGAGTCATCATTCTGCTCATCTTTTTTATAGAATCATTTTCAAATGCTGTGCCTGTCAAACCTTTGGGTAGAAACAACATATCCAATAAGGTGATGCTGGCTCAATGCATCAAGATTGTCTCCAGTACTTATAACTTTAGATATAGACTTTAGATGGGAAATGCCTGAGAGTTCTCCCTTCTACTCACCCTTGTTACTTAAATGTGGCCTCAACAGTTTCCAATCTGGGCACTTTTCCTTGACATAGGACAGGACCCTAGGAAAGGTCGTTCCTGACATCAAGAAACAAAAATGTTTCTAATAAGAACAGATGGCCCAACTCTTGATCAGTGATGCTCTTAAAGGAAGACCTTGATCAAAATGGGGACATGTGAAAATGTTTTAAGGAAACCTGACTCAAAATTGGAGTTGGGAAGCCATTAAGGGAGGGCTCTGACACATATACCACTTGTGGTCACAGCTTGCACAATCCAGAAGAAAGATTTCCTCTCAGCCCAGCAACAGCAAGCCACCAGCACCTGCAGTCAACGAGAAGCCACTACCACTTGGAACTCTCATTTTTCCTCCAAAGAACCTCTGTTCAAACCCCTCCCAACTTCCTCCTTTCCTCTATAAAAGGACACTCTCCTCCTTTATTCTCCCAACTTGCCTATGGATCACCATCATTTGCCTGTCCTGAATTCCAATTCCTCAGCTACCCTGAATAAATCTGGCTGATTGAACTGCTTACCTTTTCCTTTTAAAAGGTTGATAGAAGTATATACCTAGAAGTTCCTTATTTTCTCTGAATCTTATCTGTTTTCCTCCTAAGTAACCTAATATAATAGCACCCACTACAAAATGGTTAAATCACAAAGCCCAAATATGGTACATGTCCAAAGTACTTTGCTAATCATAAAGCCCTACAGAAATGTTACCTCTGCTCTTGACTTTACTAAGAGACCAGATCCCTGACATTACTGGTCACTCTTGAGCATCATTCCTCTACTTAGGCTAAGAGTTAGAAGTCACGGTTAAGGAGAGTGAAGTAGATATAAATTGTGTTCCAAGACCAGAATCTGAGTGCCCAGTTCTTCAAAGGGCCCACATATTGCCCTCTGAAACATGTGTACACAGAATAAAGAAAAAGTACCTAAGCATGGTCTTGAGAAAGCAATTTAGTTTTATATTTGCAGAGAGAGAAAGCTTCCTTACCAAAATTTTAAGTAATCAGAACACAATTTCAAAAGTCACTCCTCAGGCAACTCTTGTTTCTTCTAATACGTACCTCTTTGTCTTGACATAATTTGTTTGTACATCAGATTGTTGATTTATAGACATTATCTATTGGCTTCCTATTATGATAGAACGAACTTTGCAGAGAAAGTTTTATGAGCCAAAGTTGAGATATTGTGATGCGAAACTGTCCAGTGATGCATTACTCCAAACCGCCCTTTCATTTCTACTCTTCAAAGACCTACATTAAAAGCAATACAGGGGCGCCTGGGTGGCTTAGTCGGTTAAGCGTCCGACTTTCGCTTGGGTCATGATCTCGCGGTTCGTGGGTTCGAGCCCCGCGTCAGGCTCTGTGCTGACTGCCAGCTCAGAGCCTGGAGTCTGTTTCGGTCTGTGACTCCCTCTCTCTCTGACCCTCCCCTGCTCATGCTGTCTCTCTCTCTCCTAGAAATAAATAAAACATAAAAAAATTTAAATAAAAATAAATAAATAAAAGCAATACAACCTACAGTGTCTCTGTTTAGAGACAATAAGGAAGCTAGCTGGGAAGTTGGGCCTAAATTATTAGACCACTGTAAACCTCTCTCTTAATCTAGTTCAGGGATGCTTGGTTTCTTGTGCCCTTTTCACCCACCCCATACAGTTTAAAGCTGTTCCTAAAACTATAGGACAAATGAAAAAGGAGACCCTAAACTTAATTTCAGGACAAGCATGGGCACAATTCTTATGAGCTCTGGAATGGGATTAACTGGTGCTAAAAGAAACCAGCTTTTACTTATCTGAAAAGTTATCTAAAGCCGACAAGTATGCAGCATTAAAATTTATGAACTAATCTCCTGCATTATATCTGTCCAGAGGAGACCACTAATGTCTTCCAAGTGTAGACTTCGGCTGGGGTATGCTAGGTCTGGGGCAGAGACAACATCCTCCAGGTGTACAAGTGAACTTGAGGTCAGGCAGGTGACCCTGCCAAGCAGGCATGATACATTAAGGAAAGGAAATCTTTTCTCTCATTAATCAACAGGATAAAGGTGATTAAGCAGGAATTATTTTTCAATGACCTACATAATTTCATCAGACTGCTATGGCTATTAGCAGAGAGCAGATGACTTCCTAATAAGATGAATTTGATAGCACAGCCCCTTCCGAGAAGCCTGGGTGTGGGCCCAAATGATTGGCACTGCTTACTACTACTCCTAAGCTTGGGGCTCCTTCCTCCAATGGGGATATTTCCCCATCACGGGATGGCTGAGACTACAGCACTTGCTGAATGGTGGAAGCCGGTTCTGTTAAGAAGGGATGGATCCAGGTAGGCGAGACAGAGGTCACGTGATTCCCAAAGTTCCAAACAAACAAGACTACAGCTGCTACCAACACCTCACACTGGCCAGGCTTGAAATAGAACAGCAGCTAGTTCCATTCCCTAGCAGAAACAGGGTTAACAAGGAAGCATTGTTGGAGTCGGGGCGGTGGACAGACACACGGGCACGCAGGCACAACATCAATAACAACCACCATGATTTGAACGCAGTTTCATTAGAGACCTTACGAAACTGAGCAAGAGCCACTCAACAAGTCCGTCCTTACACCGAGAGCGCTGCAAGCCTCAGAGTGGCACCACCTTGGTCTTCTGCGGAAGCGAGGTGGCTTGGGGAGAAAAACTGAGCCCCAGATCTCTTCGTCTCTGCCCGTTCCTCCCATAGGACCCCCGCTCTCTGGCCCCAGAGAGCAAGGAAAGAGGTGGAGAGACCTGATGACATCTTTCTCCGTCAAAATAAGCCGGCTCTCTCTCCCCCGGGGTCAGACACCGAGTAACGCCCTGTCCCCCAGCTCCCGCAGCCACCTCGTCCCTGCCTTGCTGCGGCCCGACGCAGCGATCTAGTTTGGGATATTCCCAGTGCAACCCCCATCCTAATACCTGCTCCTCCAGCCCAGTCGGTGGAATGCAGAGAAAAGGACACGTCTGCTCTCCCCGCTCTCAACCCTCTAAAATAAAAGAATCCCTCAAGCGGCAAAGCTCCAAACAGGATGCCACGTACCTGTCCGTGAACTCGGCTCCTCCTCCCGCGCAGTGCGGGACGCTCCGGACAAATGTCCCCAAACAGTCGGGAAAGTTTGTGCCGCCGTCCTGGGGACACGGGCCCCCGAGCCGCCACCCGCACCGGGTTCCAGGAGAGGTGGAGAGCAGGCTCCTCTCCGCCCGGCTACAACTCAACAGCCAAGCCCTAGGAAGAAAGTAGGAGGAGGGAGAAGGTTTGAGCGCAACTTTTTGACCGTGCGTCAGCGGGTGGCTGAGCCGCGCGGATCCCGGGCTCTGCACCACTCCCCCCTCCCAACTCTGTGCTCCTGGGAGCGCGGGGTGGGCCGGGGCGGGGCGGGGCGGGGCCCAACCTGCCCGGACGTCTCGGGGAACGCAGTGGCCGGCCCCGCCCCCGCCGCCACCAGCCCCGCCCCCACTCCTGACTTCGGGCCGTGCCGCCGCCAGGTGCGCGAGGGCTCCCGCACCGCTGCGCGGCCGCCGTGTGCTGGTTTCCAGGGTGAAGGGGGAGGAGCTTCGGAGGGAAACTTTCCACCGAAACTTAACCCGGGCGACGCGAGGACACCCCGCCTTTAGGGGCTCATCTTTTGTGGGCACTACATCCCTTCGCACACACAACTGCTCTCACACCTCCCCACCAAACGAAAAAATAAGTCAACATTTGTGAACCGGCCAGAAGGCGGGTCTCTTGGGTCCTGTGGAGTGGGGAAAGTCAGACAACTGCCGTGTCGCGAACGTTTTCGATTTCTTGCTCCCCAAAGGTTTGACGGCGGCCCGCGGTGCCCTCTCCCCACTCCAATTTCTTTCACTGAAGCTTTTCTTTTTATCCCTGAGGTTTGAACTTTGAAAATGCTAACAGGGTCCCAAGAGAGCTGAGTCAATGACGGAAGCGTTCCCCTGTTACTCTTCTGGCATATTCTACTGAAGTGGGCAGGAGGAGTTTTGCTCTTGACGGACTTACGGGGTCAGGGTTTGAGGGAGCAGAGGGCAATGAGCAGGCGTTGCTTTTTGTTTTTAAGGTGAGTCGGCATTACTGCAGTTGTATATGTGTACGTTGCACACGTTCACTAGCAATCCTCCCTCGCCCCCCCCCCCCCCCCCCCCCCCCCCCCCCCCCCAGCTAAGGGCTTTTTAATTTGGACTGTTGTACAGCAAAAAGGAACCATCCCCAACTCAGGACTTCCCAGATAATGGGACAGCAGGTCCACAATCCATTACCCCACCACCAGGGGCGAGGGGTTGGTGGTGGTCTTTGGCACTGCCTGGATCTCCTTTCCAGAGCCCAGACCTCGGCCCAGTAGGACCTGATCTCTCCTTTGCCAGCTGCCCTTCGTCAGACACTTGGGGCTGTGCCCATTGCCAAAGTGGGCGGTGCTGACTTCCCTCCGCGATCCCTGCGTCTCCCACGCCCCCTCTGTGGTTGGGCAGCAGAGTCAATGCTCTGCTTTCTGAACTTTAAAGCCAGGAGGAGGAATCAAATTCTTGGTTAGCGGCCTTATTGGCATTTTCAGAGCCCTGAGTTTGGCATGGCTGAAACTTGAGGTAAGCAAAAACCTGAGCAGGTTGGGCCACCCCATGGCTTACAAAGGTGGTTGTGGAGGATTTTCCACCTCAGCGGCACCTTGCTGGCACCTCACCAAATTCTCCTTTGGAGGAAGTATTCTCCTCCCTCCATTCTCAGTGAAGGGCATCCGGAGAAAACCAAAATCAGGTATATCTAGTTTCAAGTTCTCTCTTGCAGCCATAGTAATGGGATGTTACAAACTGCACACTTCCTTCTAAGGCTGTCTACCGCCACTGCTGTGGCTCATGGACAACAGCAGGAAAACAGGTTGCACTTACTGGGAGTCCTTTCAGGATTCACTAGCCTTTCATCTGTAACAAGTGCAGACAAGGGTCTCAAGTAAAAGCTGGGGAAGGACAAGAGAGAAAAAAGGTAAGTTCTACACAGCAGGTCACCTTGGCCTGCTCTAATAATTTGGAATGTGGGGAAATCTTTCACTCATTCAAACACTGTTTAGTGCTTTTTGCATGTGAGGCATTCTTCTAGGTGTTGGGGACACGGGGGATAACAAAAAACTTAAAAATTTTAGCCCTAACTCTAGATGCTGGCGAGGATGTGGAGAAACGGGCACCCTCCTACACTGTTGGTGGGAATGTAAACTGGTGCAGCCCCTCTGGAAAACAGTGTGGAGGTTCCTCAGGAAACTAACTATAGAACCCCTCTAGGACCCAGCAATAGCACTGCCAGGAATTTACCCAAGGGATACAGAAATGCTGAGGCATAGGAGCACATGTACCCCAATGTTCACAGCAGCACTCTCCACAATAGCTAAAACATGGAAAGAGCCTAAGTGTCCATCAACAGATGAATGGANTAGCACTGCTAGGAATTTACCCAAGGGATATAGAAATGCTGATGCATAGGAGCACATGTACCCCAATGGTCATAGCAGCACTCTCCACAATAGCTAAAACATGGAAAGAGCCTAAGTGTCCATCAACGGACGAATGGACCAAGAAGATGTGGTTTATCTATACGATAGAATACTACATGGCAATGAGGAAGAAGGAAATCTGGCCATGTGTAGCAACATGGATGGAACTTGAGGGTGTTATGATGAGCGAAATAAGTCAGGTGAGAGAAGGACAGCTACCATATGTTTGCTCGTATTGGTAGATTAGGAGGAACTTAACTGAGGACTTCAGGGGAGAAGAAGGGGGGTAAAATAGTGAGGGAGACGGAGGGAGGCAAACCATGAGTGACTCTTGAATGCTGAGAGCAAACTGAGGGCTGATAGGGGTAGGGGAGAGGGGAAAGGGGGTGATGGGCATGGAGGAGGGCACTTGTGGTTATGAGCACTGGGTGTTATATGGAAACCAACTTGACAATAAACTATTAAAAATAATTTAAAAATTTTTTAAATAAAAAAAATTTTTTTTTAATTCTACCCCTAATGGAGCTTACCTTCCAGATGGGAAAGACAGATGATAAATTTGTGGACTGCCATATGATTAGAAATGCTATGGAGAACAGTGCCTGAGTGGCCCAGTCGGTTGAGCGTCAGACTTGGACTCAGGTAATGATCTCACCACTGGTGAGTTCAAGCCTCGCGTCTGCTCTGTGCTGACAGCTCAGAGCCTAGAGCCTGCTTCAGATTCTGTCTCGGTCTTTCTCTGCCCCTCCCCTGCTCACACACTGACTATCTCTTTCTCTCCTTCTCTCTCTCTCTCTCTAATAGAAATAAACATTAAAAAAAAATGCTATGGAGAAAAATTGAGCAGGGAGGGGACAGAGGAGGAGGAAAAGGTGCTTTTTTTTCTTTTCAATTTTTTATTTAAATTCTAGTTAACATATAGTATAATACTGGTTGCAGGAGAATTTAATGAGTCATCACTTACATATAACATCCAGTGCTCAATACAAGTGCCTTCCTTAATACCCATCACCCATTTAGCCCATTCCCTATCTACTTCTCCTCCAGCAACCCTCAGTTTGTTCTCTATAGTTACGAGTTTCTTATGGTTCTCTTCCCTCTTTTTTCCTCTTTCCCTATATTCATCTGTTTTGTTTCATATGGTGTTTGTCTTTCTCAAACTGATTTATTTCAATTAGCATAATACACTCTAGCCCCAACTACATTATTGGAAATGGCAAGATTTGATGGCTGAGTAATATTCTTTTGTGTGTGTGTGTGTGTGTGTGTGTGTGTGTACATTTTATCCATTCATCAGTTGGACATTTGGGCTCCTTCCATAATTTGGCTATTGTTGATAATGCTATGAACATCAGGGTGCATGTGCCCCCTCCAAACCTGTATTTTTATATCCTTTGGGCAAATGCCTAGTAGTGATAGATGGATCATAGGCTGGGTCTATTTTTAACTATTTAAGGAACCTCCATACTGTTTTCCAATGTGGCTGCACCAGTTTGCATTCCCACCAACAGTGCAAGAAGGTTCCCTTTCTTCTTCATCCTTGCCAACATGTTTTATTAATTTTCACCATTCTGACAGGTGTGGGGTGGGATCTCATCGTAGTTTTGATTTATATTTCCCTTATGATGAGTGATGTTGAGCATCTATTCATGTGTCTGTTGGCCATGGTGCTCTTTTAAATAAGATCATCAAGGAACACCTCTGTGGGAGGTAATATTTGAGCAAAGACCTAAAGGAGCAAGATATCTGGACAGACAACTTTCAAGGCAGAAAGCACAGCAAGTACAAAAGCCCTGAGACAGGAATATGCCTGAGTGCACTAGGAACAGCCAAGAGGCCAGAGTGGCAAAACAAAGAAGGTAAAGACAGGGAAGAGGCTGGGGTGAGGCAGTTCAAGTGAGGCTTTTACTCTGAGTGAGTTGGGAGCCACTGGAGAATTTAGGGGAGAAAAGTGACATCTCCTGACATTTTTTAATAGGATCACTTTGACTGCTAGATTGAGGGTAGATAGTAGTGGGTAGCAGAAAACGATTAAAAGCCTAGTGAAATAATCCACTAGCAAGAAGAGAGTGACTTGGACCAGATACAGAAGGGTGGGGGTGATAAAGTGACAGGAACCCCTCACAGACTGAATGTGAAATATGAAGAAAAGAAAACAAGGAAGAGTGAGGTGTTTGGCCTGAGCAGCTCAAAGGATGGAATTGCCAGAACAAAGAAGCAAAAGACTTCAAAAAGAGCAGGTTGGGATAAAAATCAAGAAGGCCAAAGGGATGACAGGAAAGAAACATAATTTGAACAATCTTCAATTTCCTCAGTTTATAAAATGAACAAAATACCTACTTCATTAGGGTTGTTTTAAGGATAACATGAATTAATCCAGTGAAGTATACAGCACAGTACCTCATAAATGGCAAGCAGTTCCCTCTCTACAAATATGAATTTCATACATATCCACTCTGCCCTCTGGGGATAAAACAGAGTCATTATTTCAGAGGAAATAAGACTAAAAGGAAGTAGAGGAACAAAAAATTAACAGTAGAACTCCCCTATGACCCAGCAATAGCACTGCTAGGAATTTACCCAAGGGATTCAGGAGTGCTCATGCATAGGGGCACATGTACCCCAATGGTCATAGCAGCACTCTCAACAATAGCCAAAACATAGAAAGAGCCTAAGTGTCCATCCACTGATGAATGGATCAAGAAGATGTGGTTTATCTATATAATGGAATACTACATGGCAATGAGAAAAAATGGAATCTGGCCATGTGTAGCAACATGGATGGAACTTGAGGGTGTTAT